ATGTCGAATTGAGGTGTTTCAGGACGAGTTGTAATGTAACAGAGTCCCGAATTCATCAAGGGCAAAAGGGTCATTTTTTATCTTTGCCCTCTATTATAAATACAGACCCCTTAATATAAAAGTATCACATTTTGGTTTGAAGAAGGGGCAGTACATGTTTTTGGAGGAAAAAAGAAGAAAAATCCTAGGTTCTTCAAGCTTCAAGCCACCAAAACTCATTCCTAGGCCAAGATTCTTGCAAGACTTCCTTCTAAGAAGTTGTTCCTCTCAACAAGGGCTATATTTTCACCGATCAGTTCGGCTATACAACGAACACAACTCTCTTGATTTGAGAAAAAATTATTTTAGGTATGATATTTTGCTAAGTTAGGAATAAATTTAAGTTTTTTTGTCTTTTCTATGTGTTGATTGAATGATTTAGGTGTTTACTTGATATTGTAAAATTACTTAGGTGGTGGTTGCTTTGAAAACTTAGAATTAGTAGTTTAAGTACTTTTGTGTTTTTTGAGTTTCTTGACAATTTGTTACTACAATGAAGGTGTACCTTGTATATGTGTTGAATTATTATATTATAACTTATGTTCATGTAGAAAAATTCTTGTGGTTTGAGGGTTATGATTTATCCCATGAGTTGATAGTTGTGTATTTGTATTTTCCTTGAAAAATTGTGAAAGTAATGAACATGAAACTTGATCATATGTTTAATCTATTGAATGGTAGTGGTGGTGGTGGTGGGGCGGTAGGGGTGGTGGTGGGTGGTAGGGTAGTGGGTGGGGTGGTGGTGGTAGTAAAGCAGTTCCAAACACTAATTTTTTTTTTTTTTTAAATACATAAGAGAAGTTATAAATTCTAAAAACACTTTTAAAAAAGTCATTTCAAACGTATCTTTAGATAGGGGTACAACTTGGGCGGGCCAACCCGAGTCTAACCCAAAAAAAATAGGGTTTGTATTAGAATTTTTAATACTTGAGTTAGGTCTGGGCAAAAAAATCTCAACCTGAATTGAATTCGGGCAAGTCTCGGGTTGAGACCTCAGATTGAACCTGAATATACATAAATATATAAATATATTTAACTAGGGTTAGTATTTATCTTCAGTTTTCAGAGTTCATACTTTCACTTTACTTCAAGTCTTCACCCATACGCTTCTATCACTCTCAGATCCCTCTCTCACTTGTCACTCATCTTTCATCTGGTCTCAGACTCGCAGACTCCCTCTCTCACTCATCACTCCTCCCTCTCTCAATCGTCACCCGTTTGAATCGTCTCAAACTCTCAACTGACTTCTCTTACTCGTCATTTCTTCCTCTTTTATCAACTTGAATTAAATAACTCAAGTTCAACTTGATTTTTCACCCAAAATTAGCCCGAATAAAGTAATCCGAATTCAACTTGAGTTTGCCCGAATTAAACTCGGGCAGTACTCGGATTAAGTACCCCGGTTGACGTAGGGTTATGGTTAGGGTTAAAAGGTTGAAGATTATATACACAGGGTTGTGTTAGGGTTGACCTCTGAACCCGTCCGAGCTGTACCCTTACCCTTAGAGACCTATTTTCTCTATTAAATTTGGGTATTAATATTAACCATCGGATTAATTTTAAAATAAAATTTAAAGAGATCTCAATAATGAAAAACAAAAATTATTTTATTTATCTTTTGAAATTTGAATTGTATTATATTTTATTATAGAAATTATAATTCTCACAAAGGCTACAAAACTAACTTATTTTAAACACTCATTATTTGTTTTCCAATATATCTTTTTGCAACTTTGTCTTTTTAGTTTTACTTCACAAGTTTTATATGTACTCTTTGATGTGTTAGATTTTGTCCTACACCCGACTTTATTCTAGAGGAAATACCTTTTTTTTTTTTAATCATATTTATCCCCTATACATAGTGTAGGATCTCAAAATAATATGAAACACTCAAATATCTCACACACAAACACGAAAAATTTAATCAAAGCCCAAGAAATAAAACAAGAAATCAAATAAAAAAACGAACTGAAAAAACAAAGGAAAAAGATGACATCAAATGTTCACACCAAAAAGAGAAACCAATCTTCCAAAATCAAAGGTTCTGCCGAAATTTTTTTCTTAACATAAAAGCTTATGCCATTACACCATTAAAAGTAAAGACTTTAAATATTAAAGAGATCTAAACCTATTAAAAAACTAATAACACCAATTCTATTATAACTTTAATTAAATTACTTAAAACTAATTAGAATATTTTATGGGTCAAAATTTTTAAACCCATTAAAACTCTAATTGTAAATTAATACCAAATAAATAAAGAATAAAACACTTGGAGTGTGGGTCAAACTTCAACACATAGTTTATATATATATATATATATANACAATGAAGGTGTACCTTGTATATGTGTTGAATTATTATATTATAACTTATGTTCATGTAGAAAAATTCTTGTGGTTTGAGGGTTATGATTTATCCCATGAGTTGATAGTTGTGTATTTGTATTTTCCTTGAAAAATTGTGAAAGTAATGAACATGAAACTTGATCATATGTTTAATCTATTGAATGGTAGTGGTGGTGGTGGTGGGGCGGTAGGGGTGGTGGTGGGTGGTAGGGTAGTGGGTGGGGTGGTGGTGGTAGTAAAGCAGTTCCAAACACTAATTTTTTTTTTTTTTTAAATACATAAGAGAAGTTATAAATTCTAAAAACACTTTTAAAAAAGTCATTTCAAACGTATCTTTAGATAGGGGTACAACTTGGGCGGGCCAACCCGAGTCTAACCCAAAAAAAATAGGGTTTGTATTAGAATTTTTAATACTTGAGTTAGGTCTGGGCAAAAAAATCTCAACCTGAATTGAATTCGGGCAAGTCTCGGGTTGAGACCTCAGATTGAACCTGAATATACATAAATATATAAATATATTTAACTAGGGTTAGTATTTATCTTCAGTTTTCAGAGTTCATACTTTCACTTTACTTCAAGTCTTCACCCATACGCTTCTATCACTCTCAGATCCCTCTCTCACTTGTCACTCATCTTTCATCTGGTCTCAGACTCGCAGACTCCCTCTCTCACTCATCACTCCTCCCTCTCTCAATCGTCACCCGTTTGAATCGTCTCAAACTCTCAACTGACTTCTCTTACTCGTCATTTCTTCCTCTTTTATCAACTTGAATTAAATAACTCAAGTTCAACTTGATTTTTCACCCAAAATTAGCCCGAATAAAGTAATCCGAATTCAACTTGAGTTTGCCCGAATTAAACTCGGGCAGTACTCGGATTAAGTACCCCGGTTGACGTAGGGTTATGGTTAGGGTTAAAAGGTTGAAGATTATATACACAGGGTTGTGTTAGGGTTGACCTCTGAACCCGTCCGAGCTGTACCCTTACCCTTAGAGACCTATTTTCTCTATTAAATTTGGGTATTAATATTAACCATCGGATTAATTTTAAAATAAAATTTAAAGAGATCTCAATAATGAAAAACAAAAATTATTTTATTTATCTTTTGAAATTTGAATTGTATTATATTTTATTATAGAAATTATAATTCTCACAAAGGCTACAAAACTAACTTATTTTAAACACTCATTATTTGTTTTCCAATATATCTTTTTGCAACTTTGTCTTTTTAGTTTTACTTCACAAGTTTTATATGTACTCTTTGATGTGTTAGATTTTGTCCTACACCCGACTTTATTCTAGAGGAAATACCTTTTTTTTTTTTAATCATATTTATCCCCTATACATAGTGTAGGATCTCAAAATAATATGAAACACTCAAATATCTCACACACAAACACGAAAAATTTAATCAAAGCCCAAGAAATAAAACAAGAAATCAAATAAAAAAACGAACTGAAAAAACAAAGGAAAAAGATGACATCAAATGTTCACACCAAAAAGAGAAACCAATCTTCCAAAATCAAAGGTTCTGCCGAAATTTTTTTCTTAACATAAAAGCTTATGCCATTACACCATTAAAAGTAAAGACTTTAAATATTAAAGAGATCTAAACCTATTAAAAAACTAATAACACCAATTCTATTATAACTTTAATTAAATTACTTAAAACTAATTAGAATATTTTATGGGTCAAAATTTTTAAACCCATTAAAACTCTAATTGTAAATTAATACCAAATAAATAAAGAATAAAACACTTGGAGTGTGGGTCAAACTTCAACACATAGTTTATATATATATATATATATATTTTGGGCAACTTTGATTTAAGTCAGATTCACCCTTATCTTTCAGTGGACGTGACTCCTAAAGAGATGTTGCTCTCTGCATATCTGGGTTGAATTTTGAAACTGTATATGTCTAACCTTAGCTCGATTCTAGGTTTAAGACAATTGTCTTATAATTATAGATGTAATAATTTTTTGAAGTCTAAAGCTGCAAATATTCGATAATAATCTATTTTAACTTTGAAAGTGATTTGTTTATATAATCAATTTCTTTTAATTCTTGGTCACGCTACAAATATAGATTAATTGTCTGATATTTTGAATAGTTTGGAGAATTATGGCATTTGTAAGTGATTTATGGTTTGCCAAACCCTAAATTATACCCAAAAAAATATAATAATAATGAGTGATTTATTTACGTAATCGTTTTCTTCATCCTTGATATATCACGGTGCACCGAACATCGTGCATTAGTTTCTCAACTTGGTTAGGCTTTAGTGTGTTGCATTTAAAACTTACGTTATATTGGTACCATAGTCCTCCTCCTTTACTATTTAAACAAGTTTCATGACTAAAAATGAAGGATAAGGATACATACTAACTTTGGTACACCTTCATGCTTCTAAACCATTGATTTTGAATTAGATGATCTACGATTATTGATTTGAAAAAAATAATAAAATAGTAAAATAATAAATATGGTGAAAAATAAAAAATTCATACATGACATTTTTATTGGACGAAAAATAAAAATAATATACCAAAAATGGTATTTTTGTACCATAATGGGACTACAAAAGTATAAATTGAGAAGCAATTTCATTATGAAATGGGAGGTGAGATTCAATTATCTTATGTTAAATTCAGATGTCTTGAGTTTAAATTTTAGTAATTTTTTTGGATCATGTCATGAAAAATTTATCTCTTATGAATATCATAATCTCGACGTGGATGATCTACTTTTGATCGACTGAAAAAAAAATTAATCGAGATATACATAAATTAATCTGGACACACCAAAATATGAACAATGCTTCCTTCCATTATCTATGAAGCCAGCAATTTAGGTCCCTATGCCTACCATGCCATTTATTGTAGATACAATGCACTTTTTTCTGGTTTGTCAGCATGCATGGATTGTTCATATTTTTTTACGGTGTTATGAAGATTGATGTCTACGGTTCACTTATTATTATAAATCTTTGATTGTTAAATATACACTATACTTTTTCCTATATAAATTAAAAGCCTTTCGTGTCGAAATATATAGTGAAAAAATAGATTTTGAATATCTCTCATTTGTATTTCTTATAAAAATATTAAAATACCTACTATCAAACTTTTTTAGACTCTCAATATATTAAAAGTATTGTAATTTGATCATTCTATTAGATTTCGTTATGTTTACGGTCAAGTGTCAATGGAGAGGTTTTCGATAGAAAAAGTAACGGAAACTAACAGAAGGGTCACATTGCAACACTTTTAATACATTTCGGATATAATATAAAAAAATTTATTTTTAAGGGTGTAAAGTAAAAATTTATAAATCTTTAAATAAATAAAATGTAATTGGCCCAACTCTTTTTAGGGTGTTGTCAAGACATAGTTCAGCTGGTTCTTTCAAAATTGAACCAACAAGAAACACCATTTTTATTTTATTTTATTTTTTTTGGGGGAACGGGGAGAAGAGAAAGGGGGACTTGAACCCTTGACCTCATGAAGACAAAACTTTCACAACTTTCATTAAACCAAAGACCTGTTGGTAACCAAAAAAAAACTCCATGGCTTCAACCAAACAATTGAATTAATATAGTCGATTGACAAGCCAATTCCACCCCGTTATTCACACTTTATCTTTTTTTTTCCCGGGGTGGGGGGAGGGGGGAAGGAGGTTTAAATCTTTGATCTTAAGAAAACAAAACTTTCACAAAACAAAGAATACTATCAGATCAAAGGCTCGTTGGTTATTCACACTTTATCATACCCCATCACCCGTGAGTAAAAATTGAGTTTAAGTATAATATAATGTCATTACTAATACATGAGATATCATCAATTAATGATAGAACATGATGAATAAATCTCACTATTTTAATTTAAAAGTTATTAAATGTGATGGTTATTGATAGTTATTAAAATTAGTGATGCTTGCCTCCTAATGGAATTGTGCTTAGGCATGCATGGAGCAAATAAAATTATCTCTTATTTAACTTTTATTACTAATTAGGAGTAACATGTGTTTAAAGTCACGCTATAACAAAAGTAAGAAGTGATGAATTTGGGGAGAGAAAAAAATTCAACGTAAATGGTTTTGAGAGAAATGTTGTTGACTGTTTAATGAGTCTATTTGAGAGCGTCG